TTTATTTATTTTTGGGACCGAGAGAGACAGAGCATGAACGGGGGAGGGGCAGAGAGAGAGGGAGACACAGAATCGGAAACAGGCTCCAGGCTCTGAGCCATCAGCCCAGAGCCCGATGCGGGGCTCGAACTCACGGACCGCGAGATCGTGACCTGGCTGAAGTCGGACGCTTAACCGACTGCGCCACCCAGGCGCCCCTAAAAAATTTTTTTATATATGTGATGTAATTTTAACATCTTTCTCAGAATTTGTACTAATGTGTAAGCAAATAAGAATTTTTTTTCCAAATGAACTTGCCTTCTCACTAGAATATTGCCAAGATATATTTGGTTCTTCCCAACTTGGGTCTGTTTAACTAGGTTTGAGCAAAATAATGCTCTACTATGTCTATGGGCAGTAAACTAGGAATAACACCCCTCCCCCCCCAAAAAATAGATTAGTTAAATTTAAAATGAATAGTTGTTTTTCTTTTCTTCTTTTCTTTAACTTTGGAAGTGTATTCCAAAAGTTGTTTTGAGTGGCGCCTGGGTGGCTCAGTCGGTTAAGCATCCAATTCTCGGTTTTGGTTTGGGTCAAGATCTTACAGTTGGTGGGTTTTAGGCCCTGTGTCTGGCTCTGCGCTAGCAGCATGGAGCTTACATGGAATTCTCTCCCCACCCCTCGCCTGCTCATGCTGTCTCTCTAAATAAATAAATAAATAAACTTCAAAAACTTGCTTTGATTTCTACCAGTGCAGTCAGAAATCCAGTTTCTTTTAGAGATGAGTCTGATCTTCAGAAAGAAAAGAGCACTTTAGTCTTACAATGCAAGGAGTACATATAGTGCCCCTATTATCATCCCTTTTGTTGGGGATGAAGTAGAGTGAGGATAAACAGACGCAAGAATAAGTGGATTATTACTCAGTAATGTAAGAACACCCATATTTATGGGTTTTGGAATCTCTTTATTGCATGGAAATACGAGTTTATAAAGGCTCATAATTACTTTTGGCAGAAGAGAAAAAGTACAAATAAAGGCAATTTAAAATTAAATTAGAGTCTTCCTTGAAACGCAAACCAAAATGTGAACATACATGTAATCGCTGATAATGTTCATAATGTCCAGGGTATCTGTTAACCTTTACATAGTGTAAACTTTGGTAACTCAAGATAATCAAGAAATTATTACACTATCTCTTGTTCTGTGTATTGTATTGACTAGTCTGTAATCCTTTGACCAGCTAACAGTATATCAACATATGAAAGCACCCTAATGTAGATTGATCTTCAGGATCTTGATATATTTTGGGAAGGAGAGGGGAGGGGTCTCTCTTTCTAGGCCGATTGCTATTGCCAGCAACACTGGAGTGTTCATGTACAGATCTATCTAAAAAGTTATGGAGTTTCACCTGGCTGAGACTAGTTGCTGAGACCACGGTTTCTGGGGGGCCCTAGAGGTTAAGCATCTTGGGCATGATTTGTACTTCACCTCTACCGTCAGCATTTGCTCCTTGCTTCTTCTTATTACTGGTTTCTTAGCCTGACTGTGTCTGAATTAGGGGCCTCTTGAATGAAGCCAGTTGATTTGACAACATAAAATAAATTGCTCCTAAATTAAATTTAAATACATGTTCAGGACAAGCATATGTTCAAGTACTCCCTCTCCGCCCCAAACCAGGCTTGGCCTCAACTGATTTATTGCCAGGACTGCATTGATCAAACTAATACTTCTCAAATCTTGGTCTAGGATAGTAAGCAATTTTGAGTTGAAAAGCCACTTTTTTTTTTTCTTTCAATGACAGATAAATCCTTGCCTTGACCCAATGATTATATAGGTGTTAGGGGCACAGAGTCAGAGGGGAAAGACTTATAATTACACATCATTCAGAAGTACCCCAAGAGCATGGGGAGAAAATCAGTCACTCTTCTAAATCCATGTCTCTTGGCCTTTGAGATATTCAGCAACTTGTCATTCAAATGTAGAAGGAACATCGAGAAATAGCCCAAAGGGCAAATGTTAAATGTAATAATGCTGCTAAAAGTCACTGCTCAGTCATGGGACTGAACTTGCATTTGCTTCAGGAATGTGGTAGACAAGATTCTTAAGATGGTCCAGATCCCTGGACACACACTTTCTTCCAGTTATTCAAAGACCATTCTAGGTGCTTCTGTGAAGGAAATTTGTAGATGTAATTAAGGTCCCAGATCAGTTGATCTTAAGATCGGGAGATTATCCAGATGGGTTGATCACACAAGCCCATTAAATCTTGTTCTAGAGGTCAGAGGCAAGAGAAGTTGGAGATTAGAAGGAAGAGGATTCAGTATAAGTCCCTGCAGTACTAGAAGAAAGCAAACATTCCTATGAACTACCTCTGGGGCCATGTGGCTAGGAACTGCCAGCTGCCTGGAGCTGCTGAGAGTAATAGCTAAGCAGGAATCTGGGACCTCAGTTCTACAACTACAAAGAAATGAATGCTTCCAACAACCTGTAGGCTTGGAAGAGGGCCTTATGAGAAACGAACTGCAGCCCCAGCCAACACCTTGGTTTCAGCCTCATGAGACCCTAAGCAGAGTATCTAGTCATGCTGTGAGACCATGAAATAAATTTGTGCCGTTTTAAGTCTCCAGGTTCCTGGCAATTTGTTACACAATAGAAAACTAATACAATGAATCAGGAATATTTTATGGTGTCACAGTTATGGTAGATGGCATGCCAGACCAATTATGCACCCCCTTTCTGGATATTCAGGAATTAGCAAGAAGAAGCCATCTGAATAGCATTTGTCTTTACAGTTACTGTCTTCACTTGTTTTTACTGGTGGCTTTTCTGGACAGTTTTTATCTTCTATTTTCTAGCAAAATTGTTCCACTGCTGAATATATATTTCAAAAAAAATTACAGCACCCTTTTGATGTGCCAAACATGCTAAGTGCTTTGTAGGAATTGTTAAATTCTCTCAGCAGCCCTGTTTTACAGTTGAGGTAACTGAGCCCTGGAACAGAGAAGAGTTTTTCCAAAGCCTCAAGTGATGAAGCAGTTAGTGGCTTGGTGAAGAGCATGATCTGGGAAGTGCAGATTCATGTTGCTATAGTCTTTTTCTTAGCATTCATTCTCAAAATGTTCAGATGTCAAAATTAGAAATTTTGAATTCTGATTTTCCATTTTTCTTGGTTATCCCTTAGTTTAACATGTATCTTTTTTTTTTTTTTTTGGTTTCCTCTTTATAATTGAGGTTAAATCACTTATCACTCTGACAAGCAATTTACATATTAATCCAGGACAAGAAATTCATATCTCCCTTAGCAGGCTCATACCCTTCCATGACTTTACCCCAATCTCTCCTGACCATTCTCCTGAACTTAAACCCTATTTCCCAGCCACAGTAGGGCATCCTACCTACCTCTCTGAAGAAACCAGCATCCCAACTTGTCCAAGATGAACTGATTTCACTCCAACCTACTTCTATTTGCTGTATCTGTTCATAGCATTTCCAATTCATCAGCGGACCAAGCTAGAAACAATAGAATTATCTATGGCTCTCTTTACTCTTATTTACCTCTGATCTGTTAGCAAGTCCTAGTTATTTTAACCCTGTAATACTCTTTCCTGTCCATTTCCATTGCTATTGTTTTGGATAAGTTATCATTTCTTTTTTTTTATTATTTTTTTAACATTTATTTATTATTGAGAGACAGGGAGACACTGAGTATGAGCAAGGAAGGGGCAGAGAGAGGGGGAGACACAGAATGCAAAGCAGCTCCAGGCTCTGAGCTGTCAGCACAGACCCTGACACAGGGCTCGAACTCACAAACTGTGAGATCATGATCTGAGCTGAAGTCAGACACTCAACTGACCGAGCCACCCAGGCGCCCCCAGTTACCTTCATTTCTAATGTAGATAGCTGTAATAGATCCTTCTATTTGCTTCAAAGAAACCCCTCTCATCTGTCCTCCA